AGGAATGCTCAATCACAGGATGTTTGCAGAAGGCAGATACAAAAGTGACCATGGGCAAAGATCATTACAAACTATAAATCGATAGTATATCAGGAAAGCAAATGCAGCAGTATTACATGTAACCTTCTAACTTAGTACTTTTGTTGCTGTTTTTTCTCTTAGGGTCGAATACCTGTTAAATGGATGGCAATAGAATCCCTATTTGATCATATCTATACAACACAAAGTGATGTGTAAGTCTGCATTGTGGGGTATCTTACCATGTGTATGTCTGTTGCACAGTGTTTAACAAAGAACATCAGTAACATATTTAATAGCCATAGCTTCTAAGTTGGAAGATAACAAAGATCAGCAAGACCCGATGACTCGGTTTCTCTTAGTCATGGTGGGATAAATATGGAACTTTTAAATTGTAGATTACACATTACACAAAAATGTAAATTGTGAGTGAGTGTGTTGGGATCTGATTGCCCTTCATTGGCCTTTGTGGAATGACATTTGATGGTCTCAGTCTCGTTTGAAGAATGCATGCCCCAAAACCCACTCTTGTTGGCAGACTCAGCAAAAAAGACCAAGGATTTATAGCCCGAGTTACCTCCCACTGAAACCAGAGACAAAATTCCAAATGACTTCAGTGGGAGCAGGATCAGACTCTTGGGCCTGATTGATGCTAGACCAGGAAGGTTGGTACACAACTCCAGCAACGCAGAATAGGAATGTTAAGTAGCAGTTAAGTGGCTTTCCATCGACTCCTCGATTAGTCGATAAGGAAGGGCTGTGTCAGCGCTCATTCCTGGTTCATGCTGGGTCTCCCCACAACCTCCCACTGCCGCTTCACATTTTTAAAGGGAAGCTGGCAGGAGAGGATGCTGGCTGAATCCCTGGTCCCGGATCTCAGCACAACTCCCTCCGCCTCCCCCGCCACTCTGCATTTTTAAAGGGAAGCCGGCGCAAGTGCTGAGACCCAGGAACAGGGATTCAGCCAGCGTCCTTCCTTGCCAGCTTCCCTTTAAAAATGCACGGGAGGTGGGAATGAGTGAGTAGTCGGTAGTGCTACCCGATAAGCTCTTGCGTATCAGGTAGCCAACTATTCCTTTACACCCTTAATGCATAACTGGAGTCGGCTTACCTTAAGCCAAGCCTCAAGGTCAGAGGCCGTTGGCTTCCCTTACTCCTTGCAAAAGGAGGAGTACTGGATGCCTGCAGGAGCTGCCCTCCCTGTTCAATTTAGGAGACTGTACTAGACCCGTTAAATTGAATGCCAGAATATCGACCTCCAGAGCATTGATCTTCCGGTTAATAGAGACATGCCCTTAATGAGCAAGCCAGTTGCATCCACATGATGCAAGTACCTGTGTCTGTTAGGGAGGGATTCCATGGGGAAATTTCCTTCCCCTTTCCCTTCTCACATTACTTCTTTCCTCACCCAGGCTGGTCAAGAAGCAGGGGAGGAGCGAGTGACAAGCAAGGATGTTCTTGGGGGAGAGGCTGGGGGAGAGGAGGACCTCGTGACAGAGCATGGCTGCAGCCACAGTGTGGGTGCTGCTGTCCCATCCCCACTTCTAGGGAGCTTCCGACACACCAAAGTCAGCGGGCTGGTACGCTTCCCAAGGGAGGGGACATCTGCAGCATTTCTCCCCCAGTGTGGCCATCCTTTTCTGGGGAGGCTCAACCTCCCACAGACTCTTATAGCATCCCCCATGTTCCAGGCTATTACTCTGCCTGTCTAACCAACTGAAGAACTAAAGGGTTACTTTACTGGAAAATTGATTCTTAAATATTTTACATTTATGAACAAATATATGTACAAATAATGCTAGTTGGAATGATGCAATTACATTTTTTGCACCTATCTATCAACATACTTAAAATCCATCCCAGAGTGCTGAATTTTCTTCATAAATTCTATAGCTCTTTTTTTCCCCCAGCTGCTTCCTCTTAAGACACTTGTATATAGTTAATAGTTGGCAGTGATCTAGTAGTAGTATAGGTTGCCAGCTTCTATGATTTCCCTCCCTCCCCCAACTCTGCTGAAAAACCCCTTCACTTTTTATGCTGGAACCTAGATACACATTGTGCCTCCGGCAGCCCATCATCCACTGTACAGTGGAAAATATCCCCCACACTCTTATTTAATTTTTATAATAATTGTAAAACTAAGGTACAATATCCTAACATACAAATCTGAAAACCAGCTGGAGTTAATTGAGAACTTACCAAAATGCTACACCCTCTTACAGAGTGTCCAAAAAATTCACTCAAACAAAGAAGAATCTTAAAAATAAAAACCCACAATGCCACACATCCTTTCTGGATGGCTTACAGGTCAAATCATAACCTGATGGAGTGAATGGAACAATTGGCTCAATGAAGGGCATGAGGAAGAACAGAAAGACTCAAGCGCAATTGAGCATTATAAATACGCACTAGCTTTGAGGAAGATACAGACTGGTTA